GCATATAAAGAATGAATGAGCATATTCATCGTGTGAACAAAAATGAACATGTTTGAAACCTATCCGTATCCTCCTGGCTCTCCCCTGGAAACACACTGGGGAAGACCGTTTCTGCGGGTGAGGTAGTTGGTTGGTTTAGGAGACATCATTGCCGGTTCTCTGGTAACAGTACCTACGTTTTGTCTTTGGGTTACCACATCTGCCACACAGTACGGTGGGAAGGTCGTTTAGGATGGTTAGGTTTTGCCCTGCTCAGAAGTGGGCACCTCACCTAAACTAGCCCCTCATGCCTTCCCTGCCAGAAACCTGAAAGTTGATCAGCAAAGTCAAAGAGAGATCAACCTAGAGCTGATTGATCCTTATTAAGGATATCAGTAAGTAGTTTATATCACTTATTATCCAAAGTCATCCTGCTTTTGCTTTATAAAATTTGTTCTCTGCTTTCCTTTGGATGTTTTAATTGGCTTTATTGGAATGGAATTAATGTACATTCCATATATTCTCATATGAAGTGCACAGTCTGATGAGTTTCCAACAATGTTCACACCTGTGACCACTACCCCAATCAAGATAATGGACAATTACATTTCCCCTAAGATGCTCTTTGAAGTCAGTCCTCCACCTCATACCACTCTAGGTCCACTGAGTTATTTTTATAACTACGGATTTATCTTTTCTAGAATTTCATGTGAATAAAATAATATAATGCATATTCCTTCATTCAGCATGTTTTTGAAATTTATCCTGTTGTTTTGCTTGTATCCAATTTTTTGATCATTTTTATTGCTGAGTTGTACTCCAGGAGTACAACACCATTTGCCCATTTACCAAATGTTGATGGACATTGAGGTTGTTTCCACTATAGGGGCATTATGAATAAAGCTGCTAGGAACATTCTTATACATGTTCTTTGTGGACATATGTTGTGGTTTCTCTTCTCTCATAGGAGTGGAATTAATAGTTCATACACAAGTGTGTGTTTAACTGTAGAATAGACTGTTGAACAAATTTCCTAAATGGTAGTATCAATTTACATTCCCATCAGCAATGCATGAGAGTTATTCTATATCCTCTGCAAAAACTTGGTATTTGCTCTTTTTATTTAGTCATTCTTTTGGCTATGTAAAGGTATCTCATTGTAGTTTAAATTTGCATTTCCTTAATAGTAATAATGGAGAGCATCAAAAATGTTTACTACCATTAAATTTATTTTAAAAATTTATTTCATGTGCTTTTATGACATTTGTTCTTTGGTAAAGTGTCCAAATTTTTGCTTGATCTTTATTTTTTTATATTTTTTTTTATTTTTTTTTATTGGTTGTTCACAACATTACAAAGCTCTTGACATATCATATTTCATA